AGAACTCAAACAAGGAGGAATTTTACATTACAAATAATTAGCTTAGAGTATACTTTGACACTGAATTGCTGATTTGGAAAGATAATCTTGGTTTTTATCTGAGGCAAACTGAACTCATTGGGCCTGGCTGCAAGTGTTTGCTTACATCTCGGGTTGAAAGAGATCCTCCTCCTTGTTAAACAGGCTAAATTTGGTCTAAAGTTGTTGTCAACAATAAATTGAATTTTCTGATATGCAGTATCCATGCATCATAGGGGCCGGGTCTTGAATATACTCAATTGCTGGTGCCAGAGCCAAATTTCTGTTGTGTGTAGTGTAGGTGAATACTAGACTGCTGACAGTAATTTTCATATAGAGCCTATTTTGGATCCTAAGGTGCACTTTTATTTCTTTCATATGTTCATCGTATTTGTTCTACTCTGGTAATGTTATTTTCTGTAACCAATGTTACACTTATGTATGCATTTGGAATAACAAACTGAGTAGCTTTTACCCGTGGCTCAGTATAAAGTATCAATTTTTTTTTTTTATATAAATAAGACCCTCCTTTTTGTCTTTTTTTGCAATTTTGAAAAGTTTGCAATAATTTGTGCAAAGTTAAGTGTAATTAATCATCTTGTAGTTGACATCTCCAGGGCTACACTGTATTATAGAATGAGGGGAGAGTAATAAGCTTTGAGGTTTTAATTTTGGATGCTTATTAAATCTCTTGACCCACAATAATTAGATTCCTTTGATTCATTTCAAAATTGCGTGTTTTTATTAAGGACCCTCTGGCAGTCAGCTGCCTACTGGCCACATGCCACAAGAAAGAGTGACAGGAGAAGTACCTGGTGCTACTGCGGATGTATATAGTGGAATTTCAGCCAAAAATCAAGACGATTCCACTGGTCCAGGAGTGAAAGGAAATCTAAAACGGAAAAGTTCAGAATCAAGTCCAAGTCCGGACAAAGGTATTAATAGCTGAGGATGATTATGTTGAGAATATTGATCTAAATTATACAATGCAACTCTTAGTTATATACCCCGGCTCTTTCTGGCCATGATTAGTCTGGAACACACCTAAGGGGACGTTCTATTTATTTATTTTCCGTGTTTGTTTCTGCGGTTTAATGATGATGCATTGACTATATATATTAATAGCTATGCAGACTAAGAATTCGTCTCAGACGTATTATGTGGCAGAGTAGGATACCTAAAACTGCCAGACATATAATTCATCTTGGTAACTACGCATACGGAAGATGAACGTGTCTCACCTGTGTTAATCCACTCAACTAAATCTGTAATCAAGTGACTAACAAACTTCCTGACAAGTAGCTTCCATTGTCACCTTAAAAGAATTTTTCTGTCTGTACTAAATGATTTCTTGTAATTGGCCACCTTGACATGTAGCCAGTCAACGTCATAGTTTGATGAAGGCATCACAATCTGTATCACAAGTGACCACATCGTGAAACAAATGAATGCTGTTAAATGCAATTTAACAAAGTTAACAACAAAGAGTAGCTGGTACTTCCAGTCAGGGGTATTCATATGGTATTGAATGCTCAGTGCTCTTTGCCATTGTACTAGTGTGTTCCAGTATGGCGGTCCCTGGAACAGTTGCTTTGGTCTATTCATCAACATCTTTCTGCCCCCTCCCCCTCCCCTCCCCTCCCCTCCCCGTCTCCACTGTTAACTCAGTGCATGACAGGTACCTGGAGGACAGGGTGGGGGGCTCATGGCTGGGTCGCAGGGATTGCCAGCCATGGTAACATTATACTGTCTAGGAGTCGGCTGATCACAGTGGAGGCCCATGGATATCCCAGGCACCCATAAGCTAAATTTCTGCTGCTCTCTCGGGTCCGCATGCCAATACAGCGGCTAGTAACTGAGCCTATTGGCACCCATCTTCCATACAACATGATGCAGTTAATTAAACACTATTGTTAAGTGACTAACAGTCTCTCACTATAAGCTCTTTTTGTAAACACACAAGTTTGATGTCGTTGGTATTTATGTAGATGTTAGACGCATCAGACTTCTGCAACGCTCTATTCGTTTTAGCTTCCTAGGTAAATATGGCCATTCCTCTGTTTACTATTACGTCTTAAAATACAGTGTAGTGATCCGTTGCCTATTTCCTAGGCCTCGGTATTTCACCAGTCATTTAGTCTCTATTGAGCTTCATTTGAGCGAAAAAAGCAGTTCTGGTTACAGGCTATGTCGCTGAAATGAATTGACTCTGAAAAATAATTAGCAGGCACCGAAAATGTGAAAGCAAAATTTGAGCAATTTGATGTCAATGTTTGACCTTATGTTATTTCAATTACCTTGAGACTGAGAGGTCTAAAATAGTAATTTAGTTACAGGATCACCAAGTTTAAAAGAAATTCATCGACCATTTTTTTTAACATTCGCCTCAGTGTAAAAACATAGCCAAGTTTTGACAAAAAAGCAAAATAGCCACCTTATTCAAGTTCATATTTTTTGAAATCAAATGAAGTGACTTTGTTCCACTTGTCAGGAAATGTGGTACATGTGTATAAAAACAACATACGCTCCAAATGCGCTTCCTGTAAGCCCGGTGAACAAATTCTAGAGCGACTCGATTAGACTTGTTTCATGTTAACAGTTGAAAACTTCAGCCGAAGATTTTTCGAAATCACACTCATAGAATTTGTTGAAACTCACTAGACATCAGGCACACTATCTAAACTACAAGTACAGTGGACAGTTTAAAAAGAAAACCTCTAGATTTCAGGAAAATTGACCATGAGTAAAAACAGCATTGACGTCATTGCATTGCTATGGTAACTCCGATCGCAATCAAATACACAGCGTCTTAAACTTTAGTCTATCCCTAGCAAGAGTGTGGATATCAATCTCCTAGGTTATGTTTTAGTGCGTTGTGATTTATATTTGAAGTTCGAAGGTGTCACTATTGAAAAATCCAATTGAGCCACCTTAATCGATTGATTGATGGATTGATAGTTGGTTACAGACGTCATGAACAGGCCAGCATTGTTTGTTGAAACATTTTCAAAAACCATGTAGTACACACGGACAAATTTTTTGCAAGATGACAAGCTGATTTAACTTGATTTTATAGGTAAGATTCCCTGTGCTAGAGACACCAGCAGAAACTCAGGGAATCAAGATACTCAAGAACAAGGAGAGAGAAAGAACAGATATATGGAAGAGAAGATTGAAGAGTTGTTATCGCAGAGATTGTTTGATCTCTCTACAGATATAGGGATACATCACTTCTGTACACACTTAGTCGGAGAATTTTACCTAATGGATACGAATTTTCAAAGGAGTAAAATTAAAGGTTAGTTCTCATATAATCAACCCAACCGTTTTGATCACTGCTATCGTTTGCAGCCGCCGAGACGATCGTACATGTAGGTGATCCAGGCGATTGGGAGCAATAAGGGGGTTCTCATGTGATCGCCCCGATCATCTGGTATGAGCAAAGCGTGGGGTAAAGGCCTAGGCCCTCACTCCCACCCTCCTTCCTCCTTGAATTGCGGAGAAATTCAAAAGATCCGTGATTCAAAAGATTATACGTCAAATGTTACCATGGAAACATTTTACAGTTGGAAAGACTTGAAATTTGGATCTGGCACGAATTGATCTCTTTACAGTTTTATTGCTACTTATAATGTCTGGATTATGATACAAAACTAAAGGTGATTTCAAGAAGGCATTATCACATATTGGCGACGTTGGGAGAAAATATATTCTCGTATTGGGCTTCATCATTCCATAACTCTGCCCAATACAAGAGTGTATTTTCTTTTAACTAGGCGCCAATGTATTCCAGTATTACCGTCTCAAAGTCGCACTTAGTTTAGAATATTTATGGTCATTTCATGCCTTATTTGTACCCAACACTAACTGAAGTACATGTAGGATAACATTCTTTTAACATGGGTGTGTTCTGTGAATTCATATGTGAAATATTATTTATTTGAACTGTAAAGAAAGATATCAAGACATGATTGATCATCACAGTTACACACACAACTTAAGCAGTTGTGAAACTGAAAAAAATTTAGGCCTGAACTGGACTCAAACCCGTGACCTCTGCGATACCAGTGCAGTGCTGTACCAACTGCACTACCAAGCCAATTGGGAGTTGGTCATGTGAGTTCATAATATACCTGCAGATGGTGAAGAATACAACTGCATATATGAGAGATCATATATTTGAACTGCGGAGAAAGATTTGAATACATAATTGATCGTCACAGTCATAAACAATCATGTCTCCATATGGCTTTGTACATAACGTGGATGTATAAGCATTGAAAATTAAAGTTGACTTGACTATAATCACAGGATGTGGGATGTACAGTACATATTTTA